ACTGCCCCGAGATTGCTGCAGGTCCTATCCTAGCCCAGTTTTGAAGTCAGTATTCAGTGTAAAAACATGTAAGAACACATATTCAGGTAGAACTGGCCTAGTATACATAGGAACCAGCTCCTTTTCTCTTGACGAGACCAAGACTGGAGGCAAATCCTTGACAAGATGGGATCCCAAGAGTGGCCCACACTACCAAAACTGTTATTGAACTCTTCAGTACAAAGCCAGGAATCCAAATAGGGCCAGTCCAGACTATCCATCACAAGGCCCCATCCGTTTGTAGGTCCCATCGAACAGCAGCAAGTTTCAGAGAAAATCCTACCTATTTTTCAACCTATATAATGACGCTGCTACGTGGTATTTTTGTGGAACATTGATGATGCTTTTCAATTGATGATGTCGTGGACTGACAGACAGCACACACACACGAGCAACTACAGTAACAACTCGCTGGCACCAAATGCACACCCGGGGGTTTAATCAGTACCAATATCACCATGAATCATTTCTCACACTTTTGTGAAGGTCACTGAAGTTTCTATAGATGATGGAGCCCTCAGTACTCTTAGCATGTGAGTGAGAAATAGTGAAATAAGGAATGTTCACCATTGAATTTGGGCTCTGCACATGTGAGAGTCCTAATCACTGTTTTATATCCTTTTAGGTGTCATGTCTGCCAGAATCCTCTAACACTGAGGAGTACAGCACAAAAGTGTTTCCTCAAGTCTATTTGATAATGAATGGAGTAAGGAAAGGATCTTCATAGACTGTGTTCCAATGTCTCACTAGTGAGAAATCATCTAGGGAACACAAAGATAAAAGCTAAACATCGCAAATGGGCGAATACATACTACTCACGTAATTCCTATGAAAACACGGCATATTGACTTTGTTGCGGTTTGACGTCCACGATCAACGTATCGGTTTGCCTAACAAATGATGGATGTATGACATACATTTCGAAGATATGGTATAGTTCAAAATTAAAATGTACGGACACGGATAAAATTTAAACACATGTAAAATTGCATGATTACAAATGCTAATACTTAGCTGATCACAATTATGGTGATCTACATTTGGAATTAGTACTACCGTAAAGATGCAATGTCTTATCAATAACACTGGTTTACGAACATCGTAGAGAACTCTCTATAAGAAAAAAATTGTCATTTCTAAAGTTCAAGTAGGATCCCAGTATCATACAGAAAAACCATTCCGAATACAAAAATCTTGAATCTGGTTAATGTTCAGAACAAAACACGTAGAATATAACAGTACTGATTAGGAGAGATGTGGAAAAATAAAGTTTTAACCTGAGTGTACTACCTTGTCCTTAGGAACACTGCTCACCGGACAAATATACAAAAGGCTCCATTCCCATGGTTCAGAACAAGAGAAGACTCTGTAGAGTAAACCTCGGTATTGGATGTCCACCAAACTCATTGAGCCTATCAGGTATTGCTTCATCGATCTCAAACAGTGCAAGCATAGTGAATCAATCTCAGTCAGAAGAAATAAAGATACCAACCGAGGGCTCTCCCTGTCCATAACTTTTTCAACGATAGTAAGCGTCGACACATGCACTTTTTGTGGGGTAATTTCCAGATTTGCAACAGAGAGTGAGCTGCCAAAGACAGCTGAACAAAGCTAACACATACGTACGCAGTGACTGTGGAGAAAAACAATCCACATCCTTCCGTAGTAAGCCACAATGGCTTAATCGGATTAATTAAATCTTTCGCCGACCATACATGTTGATATTGCCTCAACGAAAATGGCATTGAAAACATTATTCATCACAAAACAGCACTAGCGAAATGTGAAGTTGATATCTGTTGACAACGTTTTCTAAAAATGAAGAAGCCATGATAGAAAGACAACACTAGAAAGAAGCTGAATTCTTGTAACAAACATTGTTACTTAACATTAAGTAGAGATAAGGGAAGGTAGTGAGGCTGCCCATACAAACATCTCTAATTGGCTGCCAATGTTAGTTATTTCATACCCATTCCATGATTGTCTCCTCGTTTTTTAGGCTGGTCTTGATAAGAAGCCGCAAGTTGTGAAAAAATCAGGACATAACAATTCACCAGATCTAAATGTGGAACTAACAAAATGAACCTTCTTATGAGAATAAAAAAAAATATTAGACTGGAATAGATCCAAACCGAATATGTTTAACTATCTGGTGGATCATGTAAGAGGTCTAAATTGGCAGCTTGGTCCAAATGAATGAATAACATTTCTCATGGCAAAACGCACCTAAACCACTCTCTTCCAGTCCTCCAATTCCTCTTGATGGCATGGACCCCCTGAGGTCCATTGGAAGGCAATATTTGTTTTTCTCACACACATCCAGTACAGCATCTTGATCAGCCTGGAGGTGAGATAGTTATATGATGAGTATTTTAGATAATTATTTGGCAGTTTTATTGTATTTTGCATGGAGGGTCAAATGCGTCGTTCAGTGCTTTAGATATATAACCAAAGTATTACTCATACAATAGTGTTTTCCAAAACGTAGTACGAACGGCTGCAAACAAGGCTCATTAGACGCAAGGTGAAGGGACAGAGGCGGCTACACATAAGGTAACATTGGGCGAAGAGGTGAGTAAAAGCACAGCTTTGTGAGGCGTAGTGGCAGGACATTTCAGTGACTTAGCCGCAACACTAGCTTTTCTTCCCAGACGATTCGATGAACCCAGACCCAACTTTCTTACCCTGGCATCATAATCTGGCCTTTGGCGGCACATTCTCACTAAGTCAATAGTGTGTGAATGGCAAGGAAGGACAAACCCCTGCTCAGCAACTTGTTTCTCTTTGATCGCCCACAGTACAATAAACTCACATGTGCTGTACACTCATAAGGTCTCGAGGCTGGTATATAAACAGGCATATAAACACCCCGTGCTTGTGATTATCTCGGCCGCACCGCCATATTAAACGTAGAGCACTATCCTCCATGCTAACTATGCATCTTATATACTCGTTTGGGAAACTGTGCGTAACTAGTTTTTTAGGATGTACCCTGCTATACTCAGTGGCTTTTTATCTTGTTTTTCACATGGTGAATCCGATTGGATAAGTGTAATAGTGATATGTGCATGCCTTATTGTTGCTTCAACCTGTAAAAGTCCCTGAGGCCAAAGACTGTCTGGTCTGCTTCTCACAATTGTATGGTAGGCCTCGGCCAGTATTTCAAAGTAACTACTGAGTCATCTCCTTGACATTCGTCTCACTCTGGCAGATTCCTTGAGCACTGAGCACCAGTTCATTGATATCTGGGTCTCCACGAGTCACCATTACCCCACGATTCATCTTGGCTGGGTCCAGTGCCCAGTTAGACAGTCCAATAAATGCTACACGCTTATCCCGAGTCAAAACCTACATGTGTAGTGCGTATTCATATCAAATCAAAACATGTTGCAGTAGTAAATAATAATAGACCTCATCACTTTCATCAGAGCCTTCAGTCCCATCCTCCAGTAGTGGGTGAAGAGCCTTAAGTGGGAGGTTGGGAGAGTCCTCTGCCAGTCCCACCCTCATCCAGCACACCACTGACACATATTTGGTGATGTCCTGGTCAATCTGGAACCTCTGGGCTGTGTTGAACACTTCTATTACACTTTGAGGAGTGGAGAGTTGACTGCACTGGTAGGAGAACATATGGACCTGAGAAGAAAAATTAACACTTGAGCACATTCACAACATAATGAGTACTTGTTTGAAGGACTTGAGGAGATTATCCTGAGAGGCCTGTCCTCTCATGGAGTCAGCCACAATGGACTTGGCCAGAGACTTGGAGCTGCCAGGTTTCCCCACCAGGACAGAGGAATCCTCAGGTCCACACACACTGCCATCATGAACACATTCTCTCTCAGAGCAGCATTGTGGGCAATGTTTTCTCCAACGACCATACTCTCTAACAGAGCCTCCTGGGACCTGATCAGTGGTTGCATTCATGTTAACATGCACAAGGCATCGCAAACTTTGCTGATTGTATATTATAAACATGTGCACAAGGGGGTTCACAGTATTATGCTGAAGTTACATCTATAATGTTTTGAAACTCACTGCTCCACCGGACAGTCGAAGTGGTGCAGTAAACTCATGAGCAACTTTCTGCTCAAACTCCAGTCCTGTCACTAAGTCTGGCATGATAGCAGACACTGACGGCAAGAATGAGGAGTAGTAAGTGAGACAAGTAACACCCGAAGATGTAGTAACTGGAACTGGTATTCATCATGGTGGGCAAGAGCATTTCTCTGCGCTTCTCCCTGTAAAATTCAAATGAAATTTTCACAGTATACAAATCGATACCTCACCATCTCTTCCTGTTAATAGAGGCATGAGAACAGATCCATCTCTCAAAAAAAATAGACGAAAAAAATCATTGCTCTTTCAACATCTCTTAGGCTTACAAACTGCACTCATCCTACAAAAATATAAGCCATACACATAGTACCATTTATTATTGTTAGTAGTAGAACCTCTCTTTCTCTCATATACATCTGGGACCAGGCCAACACCCGAGCTATGACAGGTATTATTCCTGTGTCCTGCTGTGACAGAATTGTGTGCTTTCCCACCTGAGAATGTGATTATAGAGGCTGGTCATACAAAATTAATTAAAGCCTCACATGGTCATGGACTATCTGGGTGGTATAGTCTCTCTCAGTCTCTGTGTTGAGTTGACCAAAGTCATAGACTAGTGGTCTCATACTGGGAGGAAGGTCAATCACCCTGTACACTAGCTCTCTCAGGGGGATTCTTCCTGCAGAGAAAAATAGGGTAAGAACGGTCACCAAGTTTACAAATCCGACAAAATAGTTACTGTCTGTGACATTTTATATATAGGTCTCCGGTTACCAACTCCAGCACTTACTGTTCGTGTATGTTGTGCGCTCGTGCAAGGCTGGGGGAAGAGCAGCACCTCTTAGCTTGCAACTGCGCTTGATTCTGGCTGATTAGAAAGAACTACGAGGCTAGATACGTTCATGGTTTTCTTGTGCGAAGCGTGAACAGTACGATCGCAAAGCATGTGGGTAGGTAAGGCTATAAATGTGCACACCCCGCATTCTGACGTACACACAAACACTACTAGATATGCGCATGTTGAAGACAATGGCTGTCTAAAAATTGGGGCAAATCCAGCAAGTAAGTTGGCTTGCTCACCGAGTTTCTGCTGTGTTTCTGTCTCCCTCACATAGAACCCTAGGCCAGCTGAGCATAATTTTTTTATCATCTCCCGTGTATGCCTGTGTACAAACTTGTTACCTCCAAACACTTTGCTATAAATAGTTTTACCTCCTGTAGGGATTACATGCAGCAATGAACTTGAGATCCTCTGAGACAGGGTTTCCAAGAACTCTCCTGTCACACATGATCTCCTTTATCAGTCCAATTGCATCACTGGCGTTTGCCTCATCAAAGAAGACAACTGTGTCCAGGTTCTTGGACCTGTTCTCTTTAGCAGTCTCCTCTGCCTTTCTCAGAAACCTAACAATGTCTTTCTCTGTTGTACCACCATGCACCTTATGGAGATACAATCTAGTTCACACGCATGTTGATAGAGCAAGAATGTTGGTACGAACAGCAATTTTTAGATGCTACAAGATATTGAAGAGAAAAGGCGTTACACACATATGAGGTAGCTAAGTTACACAATCCTTGAAGTGTAAGTGTTCACAGAATACTTGGAGGATTCACCTCCCTATTAGCAATCCTATACATAAAAACTACAGGTAAAAAGATGCAAATGGGAAATCGTTTAGTGAGGGATGCACACATCTCATATGGAATCTCGTATTACACCAATGCAGTGTTTGACCCTATGTTTAACCCCTTGCTATGCTACTACTATATACTGTTGGTCAAAACCAAGCATATTCACACCCAAAATATGTAGATAGCGAGGGGTTAAAAGCATAGTGCTTGTGTAACGGCTGTTGTAAGAAACCTACATTACAGCTCACATACCCAGAACACTAGGCAGAAAATGAAGATTGGCTGATGTCTTTGTAATACCTAAACTACCCAAAATAGAAAATGCTGGTTACACCTACAGTTCCCGAACACAATCTGACCCAATCTGACCCAGAACGCTCACGCTCAATCTCTCCCTCATTATTGTACCCTCCAAAAGCTCCATGGAGTGGAAACACACAACGATGTATACCTTTAATATCAGCATGTTCCTTTGGCCACTACCCTGAGAGGCAAGGTTACACATGAACCTGATGAGTCTGGTCTTCCCACAGCCAGTCTCTCCCATTATCACAACTGGAATACTACACCTATGTATGTTTATAAATAAATCATTAATTCATAATACACTTAGTCAAACCTGAATCTCATCTGAATGGCCAAGATTTTGATTAGGTTATCAACTGTTAGCACATAAGTAGGGTCTGGATCATGGAGCCATTCTATACCCATTACTGTTGAGATCTTCTGAATCATGACATTTTTAGGCCATTGGCGGTAATCTTCATAAAGGTCAACTCTCTGTGCCTTTAGACCAGTGTAGAGCTGTTGGGTCATAATACTCTTTTCTATAACTCTTCCACGTTGAGTTGGATCACACAGGTCACATGATTAGTCAACAACAATCCAACGAATGTGGAAACTCATCCATCTCGGTTGAAGAACAAGTAAGGATGAGAGCTATAGGGTAACACCAAGAAAAAAAACAACTAAACTGCAAACCCTCGGTGAACTGTGCATGCCTATGGCTGGTATGCTATGAACTATAATTTCATGCGTGGTGCCGCTAATTGGCTATTAGTATGCGTTTACTTGTGGTGTCGGCTAGTAGCTCGCACATAGTCTGACACGGGCTAGCTACAGTAGACAGCATGCGGGAGTCGATACACGTTCTTCGTTGTGACTTCCTGTGCCTTCAAGATACACAGAGCAAGCGGACCCTGTCAAGGTAAGGCTGTGCTAATAAGCAAATTGGCCTGTTCACTTGGTTTTCATGCCATAACTTTAGAACACAGTATTTGTATGCAAATCACTTTTTTTTAAATCAAGCCAGTGTAGCACTGAATCCGTTACTATCACTCTTTGGCCGATTTATTTCGTGTGGTGGGAGAAAACGTGATAACACAGACACACTCACGAACCAAGCACCGTCACCCTCTCTGCGCATGCACGCTGAGGGTTAACTATGAATACTGAAACTTCACGACACAAGCAACATCATTGCAAAAGTATACTTTTACGCTTGTGCAGGATTTTTCCAAATTCTCTGTAAAAAAGGAGGTGTACCGTACTTGCGTAGAGATACTTTTCACACTTAAGTGCATGCTGAGGTGGCCAACATAAAAACAAATCACACAGGTCTAACTCTCAACAATAGCGTTTATGTGTCACTATTCACACATGCTTTATGCTTACAAGAGCCAGTGGCTCACTAGAAAAACATGGAACCAGGCATGGTAATGGGCATCTTGCACATGTGGCATGGGCAGACCATGAAAGGGTGTGCAACCTGTATGGAGCGACCAAGCAAACATAATTGTTCAATGGAGGTGGTGTTTTTTTAGTAAAGGTTTGCACACAATGATTCAATACTCTATAATGCGTCTGTGCATATAATTAACCCTCTGTAGCGAGGGTTACAGTACTTGGTCTGTGTGTGTGTGTCTGTTTGTCACCAGCTATTCAGGCACTACAGGTGACCAATGGGCGATACCAACGGTTTCAGAACCACGAGAGCCTGAAAATGGTGTTTTCCCTGAAACGACTGCGTTCGAGAGATATGCCGTGAAAACAAGCGAAAAAGCCAATATGCATTATCCCACTGGCTTACCGCGACCGGATCCGTTCGCTCTGTGTACCTTGGAGGCACAAGAAGTAACAACAGAGGGTGTGTATCAACTCCCGCATGGTATCTACTAGTAGCTAGCCTGTGTTCAGACTCTCTGCGAGTTACTAGGGTGGAGACCGCGCGAGTAATGCATAGTCATGGCCCAGCCCATCAATGAGCGGTACCGTGCATGCATAATGCGCCGAGAGTTTGCATTTCAGTGCTTTTCATTTCACAATGATTATTTCGCGTGTTGTAAGCAAAATGTAAGTGAATCGTCGGTGAGAGCAGTCTGAACTTCTCTTGGCTCCATAGATAAAGCAACAAGACTGATGTGACTCAGAAAACGTGCTACATATGTGAGACATGCTGCGTTGGTTGCTAAAAATATTCTTTGCTACACTATCTACTGGGACACAGTGTACTGGCCGTTAGATGCTCTATGGAGGTGCCTGTTCAATGTAGGTAGCATTGTATAATAGAGCTTTTGTTCGCGACCTACAGCAGCTGTCATTTGATGGAGGTGGCTGTGTTAGACACAAATGGTCGTTAGGACAGGTTGCACTGTACCACCTTAAACTTAATGTGTATAACCTGTGTTCCCATTGCTTCCTCTCAACAATCTCGTACTGCTGAAGAACATCATGCTCTTGATCATCAGGTTCTTCATTTTCCTGTGCTACCTCTCCTTTAAGGGAGGACGTGGAGAAAACGTCCTAGTGTTAGAAATACCCACACAAGACACCATTAAGCAAAATGTTTTCACCTGAGAAATGTTCTTACCTGGACATTTGAATCATGAATCTGACAACAAAGCTCTTGAAACCATCCATCACGTCTCCAACAAATTCTGGGTTAGTGAAATATGACCTTTCACAGGACTGCAGCTGGAGGCCCAGAAATGTGACGAAGTGTCGTATTTCTGCCCATGAAGGATCCTTAACTCCACAGAATCTGAAGAAAACACTTGAAAATTTTTTATAATGAAAACAGTACCTCTAACTAACCTGAGAAGAATCTGGAGACAGTCATGGGGAGTCCCTTCAATACTACTATGGTCAAAAGCAAATGAGTCTAAATTGCTGTTTGCAACATGTCGTCTCAGATACTGGTAGACCCTCTGAAAGGTCTCACTATAAAATGTTTTCTGGTCCATTACTATTTTAGTACTGTCCGCCTCAGCCAGTGACATGAGGGAGAGAGCATCTTTTGGCTTGACACTGGTGACAGTTGGAAGGATTTCAAGCACTTTTTGCACAAGATGCTCAGGGACAGGCATATTTTCATGTGCCTGTTGAAAAGTTGTAATTTTCCAGTTATGCCAAAGAATGCCTTACCTCAGAAATAGTAACTTCAATGGCATAGAGCTGCGAAGGGTGGTTCCTCCAGACACGACCTTGACTGTCACACAATCCTCTGTTGATAAGAAGCGAAAATAGAACTGTGTCCATCTGCCACAGTACCTAAAAGTAAGGAATGGCAATATCTCCTTTACAAAGTGACCTGCTAACAAACCGAAGGAGAGATGTCGAAGTGGAGAATTGAACAATAACCACAGGAGTCCTCATTTTGAACTAGACACTCTATTATAGAATCTACGGTTACTATTGGACCATGAACTGGGATTGTTACGAGGGAATTATGTCTCGGGATCACAGCCTGAAGTTTCTCCTTCATTCGAGTAACATATAGTGTTTTTCCCATGCCAGCTCGAGTTGAGGATATGACCCTGACACGTGATCTGCAAGAAGGTGTTGATATAAAATATTATGCCATCCCTATATACTAAGTACTACCGTACTTAGTGATATGTAAATTACCCTTTGTGATCCACAACAGATGCGGATAAATTATGCACATTCCCCATCCCCATCTCTAGCAAGGATGGCTGAGCTTCATTTACAAAGTGTTTCTCCAGATACTCTTTATACTTGGTAGGGTCTGTAGACAATCCATATGGTCTACGGTACAGATGAAGCTTGGATATGATCGGACTTTTCTCCTCATCTTGACTGCTGCAAATAATCACCAAGGAGAACTCTGTAAGGAGGAAACAATGTATGCAATTATACTACTAAAATAAATGCCACACATTTGGGCGAGCAAGTGTGCATGTGCATTGAATCAAGTAGAAAATGACGGCACATACAGTGACTGTCACATACATATAATATTCCTCATTAAGATGACTATATAGGTAGGCTCGCTTCGCTAGCAATAAAATATGTGAATTAACCTCCTTTGTTCTGAATTTGCTCTGTAAGGGATCGAAGTGCCTTGTCAGCTGTGTGATAGGACAACTTCTCAGCATGGACTAGACAGAAGATCCTTTTGGAGTCTGGGTCACTCACAGCCCTTTGCCACAGAAGATTTACCTATATGAAAAGGTCAGAAAAATCCTGCCTATAAACACCAAAGGTAGCCACAATAAACTCAGCTTGATTTTACCTTGGGCATAACAAATACATAACTTGTGGCTGGTAAGAACTGACAATGTGGAAAGAAGTCTGCACGGCTATTTTTTTAATTAACCCTCAGCACGCACGCACAGTGAGGGTTACAGTACTTGGTTTGTGTGTTGGTCCGTCTGTCTGTTGGCAGCTATTCTTGCACTACAGGCCACCTCGCTGTGAGCGATACCAATGGCTTCAGAACTAAGAGGGCATAAATAATAATAAAATACTGTGTTCTATGTGAAAACAAACGAAAAAGCCAATATCCATAATTGCACTGGTTTACCTCAACCCCATCTGTCCCTCTGTGTACCTTGGAGGCACAACGGAGGGTGTGCATCGAGTCCTGCACGCAAGCTACTAGTGTGGCTAGCCCGCGTCAGACTTTCTGCAAGCTACTAGCGGGAGACAATGCACTCTCATAGCCCAGCTCATTGATGAGCAGTACAGTGGGTCCCGGTTAATATCATACCCACCGTGCATCCAAAAAATATGATAATATGTGGGATATTCTACAATGCGGGATATTCTACAATGCGGGTGTGTATACTGTGTATACTGTGTATACTGTGTATACTGTGTATACTGTGTATACTGTGTACACCAATGTATACTGTGACCCACATACCCACAATGCAGTTTGTTTAGCTAAGCTAATCAAGCTAGGCTAGGCTAGCTGTTTAGTAAGCTAATTGAAGCCAGGTGGAGAATGGAGAGTTACAAAACTCCAACCCAAGGTTGTAGAAGTATAGGTTTGATGATTGCTCGCTCATAGAGCATACTTGCCATCATCAAACCTACTTGGTCTCCAGCACAATGCCTGAATTCCCTATAAGGAAAGCAAAGTGGGTGTTGATTAGGAAGTAGCTCAGCCCTCTGACTCAGCCCTCTGCTGTTGGTGGTATATAGTACAGCTAAGTGGGTGCTACTACTGGCCAATAAATCATACCCTATAATGTGCTGTTGCTGGGGTAACATATACCAATGCCTAATTATTAAGCATGCACAATAATGACAATACACAGGCAAAAACCAAAATTGCTCAATTTTTCTACGGTAATAGGCGGGATACGACATTATCTGTATTCAGTAAAATGTATGGGAAAGCATAGGTAATGGTTTTGGATTTCAGGTTTTGGATTTCAGGTATGTATGATAATAAACGGGATATTCTAAGGTATGATATTAAGTGGGACCCACTGTACCACACTTGCACACATTAGTGCGCTGAGGTATTGCACTTTAGTGCTTTTCATTAAGCACTTAGAATTGAACCAACTTTTGTGAAATTGACCCACAGGCACACTTACATACATTGCTCGAAAAGAGAACACATAAGCTCGAATAGAGTAGGAAATAAAATAATTATAAGTTACCTCTTCAGAAGTAGTGTTCTGGTTGCAGATGAGCATCTCCTCAGGTGTGGGCAAGGGTAGACTGCTGTCCTCCATGTAGAGAGAGAGAGAAGCTCTCAGAACCTGGTCTGGTGTGACAACTAGCAGATGAGGCTGGCCACGCTTTAGGTCAGTTATTTTTCTCTCTCTTTGCACATTAGCTGGAGAGACAAACACATCAAATCAAAAACCTTCAGAGGACAAAATTGTTAGAATACCAGGAAAGTTGAGGCGTAGCTGGCGAAGGACTAAACCAAGTTCCTCCAGTCTCAAATATTGCTCCCCGACATTCTTTACCGAGATTAAAATATTTCGACTTCTGCGCAAGATAGCATATACATAATTATATAAACAGGAAAATGGATTGCAACAAACCCAATCATTCCTGGCTGGGAAGCACCTGACAATGCATTTCCTTGAACAAAAGGCATAATAGGCAGATGACTATCTTGAAAAATAGCTTCTTTTTCTTTCAGTTCCATTATGTGATTGAACGCCACGTCAGCTGTTCCATACACTTCAATGGCTCTGATACACTCTTCAACTGAGCCCACTTCTGCCTCCAGCAACTGCTGCACTTCCTCATTGTTCTCATCAACATGTTGATGATAAATGACTATAACTCTTGACCTGAGTTGGGTTGATGATGAAGGACTTGCTGGAAGAGCCTGAGAAGGATCTGCATCTGCTCCAAACCACAGAACAAAAATGTTATATTTGAACACTCATGACTATAAACCAACCTAGAGTGTTTTCAATCTCTGCTTGAGTTAGAGCAGCTTCATCATCAAAAATAGTCTCAACCTCTTCATCCTCAATTACAGAGCCTTCTGATTCTTCATCCTCTTCACCTTCTTGGGCCTCCTGGAATTTTTCTTCCAATTCAGCTCCATTATACTCCAACCAGTTTTCTATATCATTCCAGTCTCCACCATCAACTGCCTCAATGGCTTTTAGAGCTGTCAATTCACAGTATCCAAAGCGTTCTAATATATTAGTAAAGTGTGTTTTTTGCTCAACACTTAGGTCTTCTTTTGAAAGCCCTACATGTGGTATGTTTGCTTCAGTAGGCCTTGCATCTGTGACCAACTGTTCATCCAGCAATAGGGACGGGGAAGATGCCACACCTATGGAGGGCTCTATAACACTTTCGACGGGCATATCAGCAGGGTATGGTGAATGTATATCTACTTCTAAATCTTCCAATGGCTTCTTGGCAATGTCATGCACCACATTTACTACATTGGTTTGGGTTATTTCACGAGAGATGCTTTCAAGTAGTGCCTTTACTTGTCTCCACTGATGTGGGTTTGCAGACGGTTCTGACATCTTCACCCCACTCCGGAGCACAAGCAGTTGACGTGTGGTGTAGTAGTTCAGTTCATAGAAAATTTTCCGGGCATGAGCCACCTCTCTATTCCACTCCTCAAGTTCCTTTTCCATCTCCTTAGCCTGCCTCTGTAGCTTCTCCACTAGGACTGCCTGGCAAGTAAAACCAAGTTTCCATCCAATATAGCGCACATTTCCACTTTGCTGGAGCTTAATCAGGACTTCTGCTATTCTACACACAGAATGAAGGGTCTAGGAAAAAGGGACAAAATCATAAGATTGAGAATACATAATCTTTACTCTTACATTAAGAAAATGGTCAACAGCTGCTCTGTTCTCAGCTTTACTTCCAGTGATGAGCACAATCTTACTCTCCAAGTCTCTCAGTTCATCAAGATTATAACTGGTCTTTAGTAGCTCTTTCTCTTTTCCCGGTTTCAGTGTGAGATGGATTACATCATGGATAGTGTCCATAGCTACGTTTCCCTTCCCACCAATAAAATAGCGACCAAAGTTATGAATGTTGTCCATTTGCCCATACGATGTCACTTCCACTGATGCTTGCGTCTCCTTTACAGACTTGTACCACTCAAGATCATTGTTGCAAGATTCCTACATGTCACAACAAAACACTATCGATTAGAGCGTCGGTAGATGGTCTATATAGGGATGGCATGGGCCAAATCTCACGTGATCAACGTACAAAAAGCCCCAAAACTCGGTGAGAATGGCTTGTTAGGCCTTCAAACCACACTAGCAATTGTCTACAGGCCCATACCTAGCTATATATGCACTCAAAACCCCCATACGTTCCTTCAGTTCTGTACGTAAGAATTCGCTCACACGCGATTTCACGATATTCGTGCCATCATCATGTTCTTCATCTTCAGACCCGCTTCCTCCTTACCGGAACAAATTCAAAAGTTAATTTAACGTCTCCACATTTGATGGAGGTGTGTATGCACACCAAGCGATCGCTTCTTTGCTGTCGTACGTTTCTACAGCAGACAGAGCAGCTCTTCCATAGTGACAATAAACGGCGCCATTTACTGCTTACTCAGCAGTCAGCAGTTGGGCGTTTCCTGATGTGCGTGCACACACCTCATACACTTGCGGGCGAGCGTGCGGAAACTGAGTTTTTTTTTGGGGGCCAGCTCCTTTATTTATGCATTGCTGGACACACTGGGTATGCATTGCTAAACACACTGCTATAGCTCCAACACCTCTGCCATTTTTTGTCAGAGCTGTTCATAAAATAATGGAACAAGCGGAAAAATCAAAATGAAGGCCTGCCACTACATTACAACGACAGGAGCCCCTGTTAGGGTGCCCCAGCGTCACATCCTGGCACATTATCGGCAGGAAATCGAGAAAAAATAATCAACACAATGATGGAACAAGGTATAATAGAAGAGAGCAGCAGCCCCTGGACGGCACCTGATGTGTTTGTGCTACAGAAATCGGCTGAAATTCGGATGTGTATTGACTATCGTGAATTGAACAAGAGAACGAAAAAGATGCCTTACCCCTGCCGCTCTCATGATTAGTCCAAAGCAGCGCCTCGCAGGTTCATCTTTTTACCATCTTTTCCATGCTCGACCCGCTCAAAGGGGCTGCTCCTGTCAGTTACCAGTGCATACGTTCGACTAGCGGAAAACAGCATTTTGCCCAGGTACAGGAATGGGCCTATATCAATTCTGCAGAATGCCATCTAAGCTTACCGGGGTGCAAAGTTCTTTCAGCGTCTGATGGATACGATGCGCTCAGAGCGCGTTTCATTCATTCATACTCCCGTTCCACCCCTTCCGCCCTCGATGACCTCCTTCTGATTCCTCCTCGCGACGCCTCAAACTTCACAGAGCTTCTCCTATCTGCGTCCTTTGTTTTGAGCATCTCTCAGCTGCTGCTTACTCTGAGAGGAAAGAAATGGGCACAATGACTGTCAACGCTCGTACTTGGGCCATGTGTTTCAGTGGTGAAGAGTGGAGCCAGAAACCAAAAAGTGACGCCACGCACATCTGGCCGCCACCACCGATCAAGGTTAGGAGTTTTCTTTCCTGGCGTCATAAAGGACCATCGCCGCATACATCCCAGGGTTTTCGAGACATGCAGAACTCTCAGTGTATTTACAAGGAAGGAAGCTGTTTGATGCTAAGGAAGCCCTATGGGGGCCTGTGCGTAACTTCCACATTGTGTTACTTACTACTACTTCCTTCGAATTGTTCACTTCCAATTGTATCTTTATCCAAGGCCTCATTTTCAGTTTCCGCATCCAGTTGACTGCACGAGCCTCAGCGAGCAGTGAGTGGAGACTGGAAGAGTGATTGTTTGATTGTTTACCGGATTACAGGCCATGGCCTCTCTGCTGTCCTCTCACAGTGGAGATGACAGGGAGGAACCTGCTTTTAGTAAAGATCAAGGTTTGTTCTGTACATAGCTTAATAAAAATGTTACCGCAGTCGGTTCGTGTGTCCTCATTTTGCAGTTATGTCCATGTACATGGAATCTGCACGTCAAATGAAAAAGCGCACCACTAAAGCAGTTCGTGGAGAAGCAGCAAAGAGGCCCTGCGTGAGGCTTTCCTGCTCCCCTGACTTGACTGAAGGACAATTATGGGTAAGCTTCTACAAAAACGCATGGACAATAGCAACAGCAATGTTTGCTAGTGACAAAAAAATTGTTCATGGCCACATCACGGACAGTGAAACGTTGGGGTGAGCCTCCACACCCCGGTGGTCTTGGTAAGGTGCTGCCGTTAGTGTGGCCGAGTGTCCAACACATGTGTGCATCTATGGGAGCACTACACAAAGCCTGCAAAAGCTCTGCAAGATAGCCCTAGCCCTAAAGAATTAGCTAGAACCAGGGAAACGGGCTTTTTACGGTTGCTGCCAGAATTAGGAAGGAGTGTATGGTCGGAGTGCAAGCACATTAAACTCACAATTGTGACTTTCACAACTATCAAATGTTCAAGCTCCAAACATCATATCGTCAAGGATATAACTGAACTTCCAAAGTTTGTACTACTCAAATGTCAGTGAAGCTCCAACTCTATAGACTTCATTATGTAAGGTTCCACAACTCTGCAAAGCTTCCAAATTTATATATAACTTCCAAACACTCATGCAACTTCCAAACCAGTTAATAGACTTTCCAACACTCCTACAAAACATTCACAGTACATACCAAATCAGGTTTGTAATATACATCTCTTCTTTGCCTCAGAGATGATGATTAGGACTCAGAGAAAGATGCTATTCAGGACTGGTTGCGCTACATGTCTTCGAACCAAAAAGTGCCAATGTGCTACTCTGCCATTTAAGTACGCTCAACAACCTATTGAAGCTCCACAGCATCATCACGATCGTCACTTTTATGCACACTCTTATGCTCAGTTCTTATCCACTCAGAAAAATTTCATCAGTCAGTAGTTTCGAACAAAATATGGATCAATGCTCATGTCCGTATATCTGATTGATTCTACTAATAATTTTTTCGCAGTCATGATCACTGTGCAGCTCGTGACAGATACCAAGTTCTGTGCCCGTGCGCCCGACAAAGTCCATTCTTCGAGAATTCGTTTTAGCTGCCGAAGAGAGAGGTTCAATTTCTCTCTTAGCATAAGTAGATCAAATAGTCCTATACAAATACCATTGAGAAATACTTCCGAATGTGCATCTTCAAAATTTACCACCGGCCTCTTGAGTTGTGGTCTGGTATGTACATGTGGGGTGTGTGTGTGTATGTCTGGGCTTGTCGTGTTTTTGTGGCTCTTGGTCTGTCTTCCTGTTCGTTTTTTTTCGTTCTCGTCGGATAGTCTGAGTCTGTCTGTCATTCTGGTTTCTTGGGGGTGGTCTTTTTTTTTTTTTTTTCTGTGTGGGTCTGGTTCTGGTCTTGTCTTCATTGTGGCGGTTATGGGTCTGGTAGGGCTGTCTGTCTTCCTTGTTTGGTTCGCTATCTGGGTCTGTGCTCTATTTGTGGCTGTGACATTTCCTGTCCCAAGTGGTCCTGAGGCGCTCTGGGGCGTCCGCACGCAGACTAGCCTCGCGGCGCATGAACGTGCACTGAGTGCCGTTATAGCACATTTGGAAGTGGTACATATGGAAGTAGTGCACACTTGAGTGTACATTGGAAGTCGAGTCCTAGCTGTAGCACCATTGGTAAGTGCGCATGGCCCCAATGGGCTTCCGTAAATTGGACTCCAAGGCATTAAATACGCTGAGAACAAAAGTTGGCAAGGCCTCTGTTTAACATACCTAAAATTCTAGCACCATTTGCTGTTTTCACGGATGCCACTCAAATTGGACTGGGAGCTATCCTAGAGCAGGACGGACATGTAATAGCCTATGCCAGTCGAAATCTAAAGCCTGCTGAGAGAAACTACAGTGTCATCCAAAAAGAATGTCTAGCAGTTGTTTATGCACTCAAACAATTTCGCTACTATTTGCTGGGACGTTGCTTTAAAGTATACAGTGACCATGCCCCTCTGCAGTGGCTCTCTGCACAAAAGATGGAAGGCCTGTTGTGCCGTTGGACTCTGGCAATTAAGAGTATGACTTTGTTATCTGTTACAAGAAAGGGAATGAAAACAGAAGCGCAATGCCCTATCACGGTTCCCATGTGCAACTACTGCCGTCTCACAGCAGAAAATTGTTTGTGTGCAGCAAGCAGACAAAACTATTTCCACCGGCCTTACGTAAGACAAATAGACGCCCAAGCAGCAGGATGTGGAACAAGTTCCATTGAAACGTTACAGGCAGCTATGGAACCAACTCAGAGTTGAAAATGGTGTGTCCGTTGTGCGAAAGTAATGTATGTACCTGGGCGCGCCTTGCATGTAGGAAAGAGTCTGACGTCCCACTCTTACACCATGCTTACGCCAGGGAGCCCTCCGTCAGTGCCACGACCTCCCTACAGCAGCCCACCAGGGAACTGGAATGGCTCCGAAGAGAAGCGTACAGGGTTGGAATCGCAACTGATGTATGCAAGTTTTGTCGAAACTGTCAGACATGCCAAGCCTCAAAACTTACATCTCCCCCTAAGGCTCCACTGACAAACACCCCAATCGGAAGATAGTGGCAGATGGTAGTGGCAGACATACCTGTCGTTACCTCCTAGTTGTACAAGACTACTTCACAAAGTGGGTCGAAGCCATACCACTTCCAGACCACACAGCATCTCGCATCTCAAAGGAGCTAGTTAAACTTAAACTTTTTACTACATACGTACGTACAGATGCCCAGATATCCTTCATTCAGATCAAGGGTGAAGTTAGCTAGACACTTGTGAAGAGCTTAGCAACGATTAGACCCTTCTTAGAAGTCACTGCCAGCAGCAGTGCTCTGCATAAGTTGGTGATAAAAGATGGCATGTTGGATACCGAGCATCTCTCCAACAGGGTCAGCCACAGGGAAGTATTTAATAAGTCGACTACAACAAATGAAAAACACTGAACTGCAAACTCTTGGAGCACCTCGCAGGTGTGGTACCGCTAATTAACGTGGGCTATAAGTTTGTATTCTGGTCGTGGTCTCACGCTCGCCAACAGTCTGACAAGGGCTATAGACAGCATGCGGGAGTCAATATATGTCCTCTTTTGTAACTTATTGTGCCGATCAGGTTAAGGTAAGCCAGTGCGATTATGCATATTGGCTTTTTCGCTGGTTTTGATGGCATATGTCTCGAATGCAGTCGATTTAAGAAATTTGTCAGGCTATATTAGTGCCAGAATAGCTGCAGACACACAAACAAACAGCCAGACGGACACACAGAGCTGTAACCCTTGGTGCGTAATTAAGAGAAGCTCTCAATACAATACATGAAAATACTGTGTATTTGTAAGCTGATGGATTTTTGCTTGGACGAGTACTACAGACAGGTTTGGCATCACCCTAACAAATGGTCTTAACTAGCCCTACCATTAGACTGAAGATACAAACACGAAGCAAGAACAGGGAAAGAAGTCAGCAAGAGAGAGAGAGAGACTGCAATAACAAGAAGAAAGGAAGGGAGAGCAGCACCACTTTGAAAGGAGAAACTAGCTAATGCTTGCAACAATGCTCCTACTTTGAAAATATGAAACAAGATAAGAGGCTTGCAAAAGAAACCAAAGCAGCTATAAATTCTCACCTATGAGCATACATTATTATGCGTACGGCCGGTAGTAAGCGTGAACTCACGGCACCCACCCTCACACTTTAAATAACGCGAGAGACGTATACTATAGACAAGAATAAGATCTTACAATGTTGTTGTGTGGATATCAACACAGATAAGTAATGAAAAGCACTAAAGTGCAAACCCTCGGCGAAGTAGCTCGCACGGGCTTGCTAGCTACAGCAGTAGATAGCACGTGAGAGTCGATACACGCCATTCGTTGCTGTCCGCGCATGGCGAATTATAAGCCAGCGATAAAATGTCGACTATCGCGTCTTAGCCTACAATGCTGTGAAGCGCTTAGCTCTGCAACGGAGGATTTTTAGAGAAACGCCACATATTTTCTGACCTTCGTCGCCCGTTAGGTAGATGGTATCGTTTCTGGGACGAACAGACATTCGAGAGGTGAGATGTAGAGTAACAGACACACACGCAGACAAACCCAACTACAGTAACCCTCGCTGTGCATGCGCGCCGAGGGTTAATGACAATATACCAGCTACAGATACAGAAGACAGGCAGGAAAGATAACAACAACAAGCACAGTCTACATGATTTTCGCGTCTGTGTTTGGAAGTGCTATTTAACAGCTTTTTGTATTGTCATTTGTGCCCCGATGAAGACTAGTCAAAATTTTGGCAATTTTGCTGGTTAGTGCATGATTCTTTTCAAAGTAGTAACAAAATACAGGACTTTATCATAACATAATATACCAGCATTTGGGGAAGCTTTTTATCATTTTTGTAGGCATCCCAAACAATGGAGCACTTGGAACGAAGTTCACGTGACCCTGAGTGTGGACCC